TTACCAAGCACTTTTCATCCACATTCTTTATTTCATAATTTTCAGAGAGATAATACTTTAATTCGTGCAACATGTTCACATTATTTGCAACTATAAATATGTTATCGACATACGGAACTAAAATAACAAATCTACTCCCACTAACCTTAATATAGATACACCGGTCTACGGTATTCTCTACAAAACCATAAGCAGTGATGGTATCATTAAACTTAAGATACCATTGACGAGAGACTTGTTTTAGTCAATATATCGATCTATTCAACTTACACACTAACATTTCATTCTTGTGATCTCAAAAACTTTTAATTAGTTCATGTAGATCTCCTTTTAAGTTTATCATTTAGAATGTGATCTTTATGTCCATTTGATAAAGCTCAACATCATACAGAGCCACTATCACCATTACAATTCTCAAGGAATCATTCTTAAAAACTAGGGAGAATGTTTCCTTGTAGTCAATGCCTTCCTTTTGGATGTAACATTCAAGTCTAGCTTTATACCTTTCGATATTACCTTTAAAGTGGTGTTTGGTTTTGGAAAACCCATTTACACACAACTCTTTTATACCCTTCAGGTAATTCTACTAAATTTCAAACTTATTGTCATCCATTGACTTTAATTATTCTTTCATGACATTGATCAACTTTACCAGAATTTTCACTTTTAATGGCTTGAGATTCATCAACCAAAGGTTGTTCTATAATTCTAATTGCTTGTGATGATTCATTATCAAGTGAGTTTGGATCATTTTGTTATTCACCTAAGTTATATGACAGTAATGTAACTAGAAGAATAACAACCATTAATGGACTCTCAGGTTTGGACTGTTCAATCTGAATTTCTTTGACATCCAAACTTTGCAGTTCCAAACTCCCACTGATTTGATCATTTTTAATGAATCGAGCATTATTGCAATTAACTATTCTCGTACTATGGTTTGGGCCATAAAACTTATATCCTTTAGAACTTTTCGGATAGCCAATGAATAACCACTAGTTGTCCTAGGATTAAGTTCCTTTTTTATGTGGATTATATACTTTTACTTCTGCTTGACACCCCAAACATGAAGATGCCTCAAACTAGGTTTTCTACCCTTCCATAGTTCATAAGGTATTTTAGGAACTACTTTAATAGAAACCCAATTTACCTAATATGCAGCAATCTTTAACACATTCATCCACATAGAAAACGTTAAAGTTGAATTACTCAACTTACTTCTAGCCATATCTTTTAAGTACGATTTATCCCCTCAGCAACACCATTATGTTGAGAAGTCTCAATTATAGTGTATTGCACACAAATATTTTAAATCTCAAGAAACTTTGCAAATGGACTAGGACATTATCCTCTTTCATTGAACTTACATTAATATTTACAAATCTAGTGAGATCTCACAACTTTTATTTATTTATCTAACTACCTTTCCATCTCACCATTGTATATCTTTGGATAGTCCAATGATTGAGTCATTTTATGTAGTAGATAATTATAACCATAACGTGAGAAATCATTTAAAATGGTGATTAAAAACTTTACATAACCCCATGAAGGGACGTCAAATAGACCACAAAAATTAGTGTACATAAGTTATAAGATTTTAGTGCTTCTATCGGCAGATGTCTTTAATGTATGTCTAGTTTGATTTTCTTTAATTCACTCTATACATACATCTTGATCACTAAAATCCAAATGAGAAATAGTTTCCTTATTCACCATTCTCAAAACTTTTCTTCGGATATGTGACCATAATCTTTAATGCCATAAGAGAGCGGAATTTTTTATTATGTGCACTACTTTAACCCACGCATAAGTAGTTGCACAGAATCAAGCCACCATGTATTATTGGGAATCTTTAATAAATTTGATTCACAACATACAAAAATTAATGTATGTTTTCTTTTCAAATGAAGATTTTATTTCGGGCAATCTTTCATGAGGTTGCCTAACTTTTTACAGAAATTACACCTCATTTCTTTGATGATTAGACCAGCAAAAACTTGAGTAAGCCAATCTCCTTTTATTTGCCTTTTGTTTCCCATTTTATCTCATTATTATTGGCTCTCACATGAGATATAAAGTGAATCGACTTTTATTTCATCTATTTTATTCTCAGCTCTTTCTGCACCAGCATAGCCTTAATTTCCTTATAGTCCTTTTTATCTTTAATGGTGCAATAAATTCACCTAAGATTGGCCAAACTCAACAGGTAGGGAGTTTATGATGAATAAAACCATAAATGAGTCTATCACATTCATTCTCATGTTTGCAAGTTTAGCTTATATGTGAACATGTTAAACACGATACCATGGATGGAACGAAATTAGTTGAATTTTTATAGTGGTGAGTTTGATCATGAAATTTTCCACAATAGACTTTTTTTCCGTAACTTTAAATGGAGATAGTTCCTTGATTTTTTTTATTTAGGAATTCTATTGTATTATCAGCCTTAATGTTATCCATCATGAGTCATTTCATAAAATTCAAACACAACCTATTTGATCATTCACATACCCTACGAAGAGTTACATCTACTTCGGAGCTCTCATTAGTAATGGTTGTGGGCGCTTCATCAGTAATTAGAGTATATCCAAATTCAGTGCACCTAACTGAAAATGTATATGCTCAGACCATTCACTGAAGTTCAGCCCATTGAATTTTTCAATAATAATACTTGACGGGAAAACTAAATTTAAACACTGCAAACTTTAATACATGCTATATAATTAAGTTTTGAGAGAAAATTAATGGATTCGGAAATCTTTTAAATTATATATTTAAATATACCTTTGGGCAAATACTTAAATATATAATATACATGATTGATGCCTAAGAGGAAAGATCTTTAACAGAAATTATAGGGTCTTGTGATTAATTAGTGGTTATCTTTGGACAAACACACTAATTAACCTAACTTTAATTATAATTTCTCTTTTATATATTAATCCTTGATAGAGATTATACATACTTGAGTCAACTAGCGGCTATCTTTGGACAAACACGCTAATTAACATCACTTTAAGTATTAATTCTCTTTTAATATTAATCCTTAATAGAAATTATATAAATTTTGATCAATTAGAGGTTATCTTTGGACAAACACCCTAATTGACCTAACTTTAATTATAATTTCTCTTTTACTTGTCACAAACTATAAACTCATGGCCCACCTTTGGGTGTCCTCCTAGTTTATAACTCATGACATCAATTATTCAAATATATAATTTGAGAGACATTAATATGGCATCATTTTATATTTGAATAATCGATATCTCATCTAATTTAATCATCTAATCCATAAGTTGAAGTAGGCCACTTTGGTGACTAACTAGTTTCTTTACACAGATAATTTAATTAGAAAATTATTTGATGGATATTTTATGAGATTATCAAAACTATAACATGTCTCAATCCACAAGACACATAACTTTAATATAGTTTACTATTAATATTTTATTATGAGGTTATTATATTTAAACTATCATTAATTTCAACAATGATTTTATCAGAATATAATTCATGCCGCATATAACAGATTACTGAAAGAGATTCAGTAACTAATTAAACTATCAGGGAGCATATATAATTTAAGCATAGAAGCAATTCAATTTGTTTTTCTCAATTATCAACAATCCGTGATGGTTTGTGGCAGGCATACAAAAAAACAAATAGATCACAACCAAGCCTATTTACCAATCCATTATGCAGCTGGCAACAATTATTTTAGACAAGCCACGAATAAATCACAATACAATAGAAAATAATTCTACAAATTGAACCTTTATGAATCTATTTCCGATTCAAAGCAATATATGCCGGACAGGACAACTATCGCAATTACTAGTTCATGTAAAACTTTTATTTAACAAAATAATCATGCATAAACTCATGCTCTGATACCACATGTAAGAAATTTAACGGGTATATCCATAACTATTAGGCGGAATTGAATAAACCCTAAGCATGTAATTCTATTAATTCATAGAACATGGATCTTTGCATACATTTTATTGCACATAGAACTTACAAGAATCCAGCTTATAGTCCTTCCCTGTTCATCTATGATGTTGATCTACGATCATCTTTCTCGTAAACTTCAATGATGGATTCGTCTCATAATCTCCAACAATGGATTCGTCTTTGCCTGTGAATTGTTTCTCTCTCCCGCGTCTCTCGTCTTTTCATAAGGCCCTTGATGTTGAGAACTTTATTTCGTATGAGATGTGAGAGAGGGGTATGTAGTATATATATAGGAGGAGGAGACTTAGAATCCTAATCATACTACCATTCCCCATGTTCTAACCTAACTTATCGTCCAAGTCAAACATCACACACTGGACTCTTTAATATTAGAACATTAAATAATCTATTAAATACATATTCATCTTTAATAAAGTTTGACTATTAATTCAATTAGGTATAACTAATTATATGGTCCACAATAATTGAATAATATATAAAATATTATTACACTATTTTCATTATAACTGAAGCTCATTTTTATCGAAAAACTTCTGATGACAATCGTAATAATAAAATTATGTCAATAACAAAACAGTCATTCACATCCATTATTTTATAATAAAACAATTATTTGTTAGTTGATGGTTGAACAACCCTTATTTATAACACATCAAGCACGCCCTAAATTCAAAAGTTTGATGTATTTCAAAATTGAGAATAGGCTAAATTTGCGATTTTCTCTTCAAAATTGAGAATAGGCTATTGGGGCTTGGTGTTTTTGACGCAAAAGTACTTGTAAAATTCGAGGCGAAAAGAAAAGGTTGTATGGCACTAATAATGCACTTAAACAACAACAAGAACATGAAAATTTATTGATCTTAACATAGCAAATGTCCCATTCGATAGGAGCTTACATTTCCAAATCACAGTAGTGCAACATAAACAAAAACACGCGTAATTATAAAACGTAAAATTCATTCAGCAAATGCAGATGATGATGCATTTGATAACTACCCCTTCAAGAAACAGAACCATCTTTAGATCCTCCCAATGACATCGATTACCTTCTCCACAGCAGAACCGAATGATTTCTCATCGTCTGTCTTGACATCATTAGTGTATGCCGAGACATTAGGCCTCGGCTCAAAATCTTTACGGAAAGACTTTCCGCTTTCAGTTTTGACATCATTAGTGTAAGCCCAGACATTAGGCCTCGACTCAAAATCTTTAACGAAAGTCTTCTTGTCATCTGACTTAACCTCATCAGTGTAAGCCGATACATTAGGTCTCGGTTCAAAGTCTTTATCAAAAGATTTATCGTCCCCTAATTTAGCCTCATCAGTGTAAGCAGAGACATTTGGTCTTGGTTCGAAATCTTTAACAAAAGATTTCTTGTTTTCTTCTTTGTCGTCATCAGTGTATGCAGATATATTCGGCCTTGGCTCGAAATCTTTCACGAAAGATTTGCCTTGCCTAGTTTTGGCATCATCGGTGTAAGCCGACACATTAGGTCTCGGTTCAAAGTCTTTATCAAAAGATTTTTCGTCCCCTAATTTAGCCTCATTAGTGTAAGCAGATATATTTGGCCTTGGCTCGAAATCTTTAACGAAAGATTTCTTGTTTTCTTCTTTGTCATCGTCAGTGTAAGCCGAGACATTAGGTCTCGGCTCAAAATCCTTACCGAAAGATCTTCCATATTTAGTTTTGACATCATCAGTGTAAGCCGATACGTTAGGTCTCGGCTCAAAGTCTTTGGAGTAGGATTTTGAATGTGCGTCAGGCGAGCCATGGTGACAGTCACTTTTTTTATGTGAACCGGGCGAAGTTACCTTAGACAAGTGGACAATGCCTTGCACTAATTGGGGCCTAGGCTCATCACCCACCACTCCATGCCAGTATTCCCCAGAATCTTTTCTTGCTTCTATACAAGTTGCAAACTGCATTTTTATGAATTAAGAAAATATAAATTAACATATATATGTCTAAGTGTCGTCGATAATCAAACATAGCATACAAAAAACGAAATTTCAAAACCAAAACTTAAGGGGATGCCTGTAATCTTGTAAGAACAGTTTGAGTTTTTTTATGTATTTTTTTGCAGGTGTAAATTGTTATTTTAGTCTTGTATGTTTCACTACCATAACTTTTTCGTCCTCTTCGAATTGCATTATTGATTTTCGTCCCGTATGTTTTGCAATTACAAAAACATAACGGACGAAATTGGAACTATTTTTTTTTTTTTTTGTTGCGAAAAGGACTTTTTGTAACCTTTACATGGCGAAAATGAATAACGCAATTCGAATAGGCGAACAGGACAACAGAACAGGACTGACGGGGTAGAAGGCATGTAAAACAAAATTAAGTTAGTTGTATTTATCATCATAATATAGGTAGATATATAATTTAACGGAACATTTGAAGTGTAATAAGGCGATATTACCAGGACAAGAGAGAGGAGGGAAGCTGCTACAGCAAAGATGGATCTCATTCTCTCAGAGCTTTAAGCAGAAATTAGAATATTTCTTTCTGTTTTGATTGTATTTTTTTGTACAATGGAGATGCTATTTATAGGGAGCGAAAAATTGAAAATTGGGTGACTTGTGAATGGCTAATCAAGTAATCATTCATCCATTTCTTAGCAAGTCGACAAAATTCACAATCAGTGAGTAATGATATAGACTAAAGAAAAGACAATTATTACAAACATATATATCTTTTATTGTCACATTTATTTTACGGACATTTATTATGGGTCCAAACTCCATATCTTCATGTCTCAACATTATCATTTTTTTATACGTTTTTCTTTTTATTTTTTTATTTTTGTTCTTGGCAATTATTTTAGAGGGTTCAACATAAGGTAAGCACAAAAATTTTAAAAGGCATCCAATGGAAAGACGACAGTGTCAATACATCATTTGTGAATAATAATGGTTGACTCCATAACAAAACAGAAGGTACGCAATAATGGTTCAATTAACAGTAGAATATATAGAAAGAAAAGAGAAAATTGGAGATTTTGTCCTTTATTTACACGTAACTGATAAATGATCCTCTTTTTTTTTTTTTTTTTCCGTAACGATAGAGATAATTAATCCTCTAAATATCAACTTTTCGTAAATGTCATTTATATGGAAACAAATTCTAGAATTCATTCTACAACTTATTGTAGCAGCATATAAACTCTACCACAACTTAAATTCAAACATTTCTTTTTTTCTTTTGTAATACTCTGAAGAACCATGGCCCCATACCAGATCATCGTTCCAGAAATAGTTTTAATACACGATGACAAAGCAAATGATGGGATCATATGAGAATGATAGATAGTGAAAGAACTGAGAATAAATTTGGACCCTGAGATCAATCATATTAATGGTTATTATAAAGTCAAACTATGGCCAATCATTAATGACATTCTAGTAATTAGTTGATCATATTCTAGTCAAATATGTACATTTAATTAATGATAATTTAGACATTTGTTTAAAATACACAAACATTGGGGCCCACCACATCCCACATTAAACCCAATCACCTACCCTTACCCCAGCCAGTCAATCGCCTACCCACCCACCAAAAACCTCTCTCTCTCTCTCTCTCTCTCTCTCTCTCTCTCTCTCTCTCTCACACACACACACACACACACACTTTTTCACTCCTCACATACACTCACAGATTCATATCGGGCACCACCACCTCAACTACCGTTTGTCGCTCGTCTTCCGTGCGCAAGTCGTCTGTCGGACGAACACCACCACCGCCTGCCGGACGCACACTACTTCAGCCTGTTGGGTTCCGACGCCGACACCAAATTGCCACCCTTGGTCCCGTCGCCACCATCACGACCTGTAATTGATCCACCCCAACAAGGTCCGCCATCTATGCAATTGTTGTTGGGATCTATGAGGATCTCGTTATGCACAAATCACGAATTCAATAGCAAAACATAAACCTATGCCCAGCGGATCTAAAGGTTTGTGTAGAGAACTTACGAGTTTAAAACTTATGGCGACTTGACTGATCTTCTGGATGGTTGTACATAGCACACCAATGAATAGTTGACTGCAAATCGCGTCCTAGGGTTGCACGAACAAGATCGGATCGAAAACCGGATCAACGGCTGCAAACGGATGAAGACAAGCTTGCAGTCCTAGGAGCTTGTGGCGGCGCGTGTGGCGTCAGACGGCTGTGATCTAGGTGGCTTTGGAAAGATCTCGTCGAGACGGTCGTCTGGGTATGCTGCACGTCTTAATCGGACCTCTGGTTAGTTCTGTACGACAAAATATATTTCGTCTCAGTTTACCTACAGATCTTTTATTGTATATCTCAAACACCTCTAAATCTTGTACCGGTGGAACAACAAGAAGAAGATAAAGCTCGAATGGAAACTGAGAGAGAGATGATGGGGGCGGCCGAATTGGCGTGTGATTATCTATTTTTTCTTCCCATGAGCTTATTGATGTATATATAGAGCTACAGTATGGACTCTTAGGAGATTAAGAGAATGGTTCCTTAATTAATTAAAATATTTGTGGACTAAACCACTTATTTTAATTATTTAAATAATATTAAATGGGCCACCAACATAATATTATTGCACTCCACAACTGCCCGAAACAAGAGGTATTCGCCACCTCGATCAGATCGAAGTGACTTGATACTTTTACCATGAAGCTTCTCCATAACTGCATGAAACAAGATTCTTTCTAAAACTAGGAACATAAAAGCAATGTCCCAAAACCAAAATACTACTGTCAAAAGATAAAGTAACGCCTCCCACTGCAACAGCTGCCACTTTCATAGCATCGTCCATGTAGAATGTGATCTCTCCCTCCCTAAGTCGTCGGGTTACCTGAAACACCGGCAATGAATTGCAGACATGATCAGTGGCTCCAGTATCTACACACCAGGTTCTGGTAGATACAATCGCTAAACATGTTTCTACGACATTAACGAGAGAGTTAACTTTCTTAAGGAGAGGGAAGTCGACCTTCCAGTGTCCTGACATGTTGCACTTGTGGCATCTATCTTTCGGCTACTTTGCCAACGACTGAGGGGGGGAGATCGTTGGACCACTGGAGCATCATGCACATTTGCCTTTCCTGCAGACTTCTTTCTCTTTCTGCCCTTGTGAGGCCTGGAAAGTCCAGCCTGCTCAGCAACCAGTGCGTGAGGCGCCTGAGTGAATAAGACCTCCACCGACTGAAGCTCTGGTAGCAGTTCTAAAAGAGCCATATGCATCTTGTGCATGTTGTAGTTCAACCGGAACTGATCAAAGCTCTTCGGCAGAGATTGGAGCATGATATCAACCAGTGTTTCCCCGTCGATAAAACTTCCCATAACCTCAAGCTCATTGAGCAGCGCCATAACCTTGAGAGCATGCTCCCTTGCAGGTGTGCCCTCTGCCATGCGCGTAGTCATCAGAGCACTCATAGCCTTTTGCCTAGCAGCCCTAGACTGGTGTCCGAACAGATTCCTAAGATTGAGAAGTATGTCTGCCGCAGTGTTCATAGACTGATGCTGATGTTGAAGAACATTTGATATATATGACAAAATGTAACACTTCGCCATCTCATCAACCTTTTTCCACCGGGCATACTCCCCTTTCTCCTGCTCAGGAGCATCAGCCATGGGCTCTGCCGGGCAAGCCTCAGTAATCGCAAACTTATAACCCTCAGAAGTTAACACAATGTCTAAGTTCCTCTTCTAATCAATGTAATTAGGACCAATAAGTTGATTTTCTTTTAGAATGACAAATAAAAGATTGAACGACATGATGAATATCTGAGAAACACGAAAATAATTTTACAGATTAAACACATTTGAATTTAACTGCTAATATTGATATCCTCAAAATAATATTAACTTAAATTCACTGACATCTCAAAAAACCGAGAGTTAATGCATGATGCGAGGGCAACCCTACACAACTCAACATTCGCAAGAGAGGGGCTTTCAAAGGCCCATTAATTTTCATAAGTCAAAACCAAATTCATGACGAACAAAATTAATAGTCGGTCTCCATTTGGCCATGCAATAAATTCAGGGACCCCGAGGGGAGTTATAAATAAATCGCATTCTAAGTGAATCCCATTTCTCGATCATGAGTTCATACTAATTCGAGTATACGTCATCCGAGGGGAAGCCCGTGCTCTCTCATAAGACTCACTCTAATCGTCTAATTAGAAATTCGTCCTGGTAATTACCTACAACTAATTTTAGTGATTTCACCCGAGGGGAGCCCATAACCGCAATTAATTGATTTACCGAAAAATTAGAAATGGAGGCCTTAGAAATTTTACAATTATGTAATTTAAAATCCCTTCTCAAACTTAGTATAATTTAAATGAGGATTTTTACTTATTTAAATATTTATGCAATTCTAAATTAATCCTACGTAAAAGCAATAATTAATTAACATGCATAAATAAGTATGCAATTCTAAATTAATCTCATGCAAATACAATAATTAATTAACATGCATAAATAAATAAATAATGTCATAATGAATTTAAATAAATATATCCACTATTATGGCCATTAAATATTGAGTTCTCATAAACAAAGAAACCTTGCATATATTCTTTCCTTTTTCAACTGGAACTCCAACTACAGTAGAATCCTGGTTGATATTGTACTGCTTGCCCACTAATCAAAACCTCTCCACCGCCCAGCTCGCCGACGCCGGTGGTCAGAAATCCGGCGACAAATTTTTTTTCTCTTCTGCGCGAGTCCGCGTGGTCTCCAGGCTCTGGTCCAGATGATTTTTTGAGGCTCGTTGATCTCTTGTAATCTCCCGGCAATTAATCCACGATTACAACACGAAAAATATAATTTATAAAATTACATAATCCGATCCCAGATTCAACGAATGGATGTACATGTTTTTCTAAACAAAAAATTAAATCTATCAGGTCAACCCCCGGACGAATAATTATTACAAAAATTCATCCATCAAATTCCTCTACATGTCTAAGGCTTTAAAAACAAATTTAAAACCATACATCACGTTCATCAACATTCATCAAACACATAGTCGGCCATAATAGTGGATTAAACTAATTCCTGCAAAGCCGAATTATGCGAATATAATCCAATATATGGCTGCGTTTGAACACATCTTGACAAATAAAGCCGTAAAAATTCAAACTTGTACACAACGAATTAAACCAAGTGATGAAGACGAGATTTCCCTCGCGTTCTTAGACCGACACGATCGACTGGCCTCTCTAGTCTAATTTATTTATGCTATTATTATTATTTCTTTTATTTTCATTGTTTAGAAAATAGGTAAAATGATTATTTTCCTTATTCCTTTCTTGTTGGAAAGATAGGATTTTAGTCGTTGGGGACTCTTTTCTTATTTATCTGCCTTGTGTTGAAGTTGAACAACAGTTTTTGAGAAAAAATAATATCGACTGGAGAATTCATTCTCTGTTTTCCCTTCATTCTCTTGCTTTTGCTGCGTCAGTTGGTATCTAAGAC